TCTACATAAATTATGAAAATTCCACTAGGGCTCTAATGCATATTTCTTGGACTTAGGGACCAAAACCCAATATAATAAAATTAAAGGGTTGAAATTTGAAGTACCTTAACATCAGGATGTTACATACTAAGAGTTACTAAGAGGAATTAATTCATTGTTCACTCCTAAACCATATATGACTCCTAGAATAGCAGTTTCTAATTCCAATTATGTTTTCCTTTCTCTCGTGTCTTAATTACAATGAAATACTTTTGAGCATGGCTAGATATTTTAATTGGGGTTGTTCTTTGCATATACTTCTTCAAAGTCCCTTTCCAATAACCTTTTCCAAGCTTTTCTAAACCGATCAAGGATGACTGTGCTCATCCGTTGTCCATGGCAACCCTGATCAATGATTGTTTTTATTGAAAACATGAACAAAAACAATGAGGATAAAAAGTTTTTCTTGAATAGGCTTGGTAAATACTTACTTTCTCTTGAAGTAGAGTCTGATTCTTGCTCATCGATAACTCCAGGATGTCTAGGTCCGTCTACTGATCATTTTAACTGTATAGCAAAGCAATTTTGTGATAGAAATTTAGTTAATTTGGCTCAAACTCACAACTTCATTTGTAAAAAACTAAAATTAAAACAATACGTAGCTTTTTCAACGTAAAATGTTAGAACAAAATTATCCAGTATTAGCTTGCAAGGCGAAAGACGATTGCATAACTCATTTTAGTTGGGTGGATTGATTAAAAAGAAGAGAAACATTGTTGCATATTTGCAACATTGTGACCAAGAATCAAGTTAAATGCTTTCTAGTGAGACAATGTTTCATTTTCTTAGTAATCTACAAAATCAATGCTTCATTTTTTTTTGTTCTAACATGAAACATTGTTTCATGCTTCATGTAAAAACCAAATTCTTTCATAAACTGAAAGGAAAACATAAAAGTTGTTTCATAAATGCATGGTTATCGTTCAACATTTCGCACCTATAATACTGCAAGGTGTTGCTCTCTTAGCAGCCTACATGAAAGGAGATGTTAAGGTCATAAGTTAAAGTATTATATGCAAGAAACAATTTTTATTTTTGAAATACATCACGAAAATTCTCAAATCTTTCTATCTTTTTCATTTTTGAAAGTAATTTAAAAGTTTCTAACATATTATCATGTTTATCTACTCAAAACAAACTATACTTGAGGTTCTATTTTGAATTAGGAGAATTATCATCCCTAAAATCAGATTTTTAAAATTAATTGAATCTATTGTCCCTTAAAATCCGCAATTTTCTTTTTTAAAATCTGGATTAATTGACTAGACTACCCTTATAGTGAGATTTATGTGATTATTCTATTTTGTTTAATTTAGTAATATACATAAATCACTTTCTTAAGTTAATAAAAATGATTTGACCACAATCATTTATACACCCATCACTAGTAACAAGTAAGATCATATATGCCTCTCGACATATTGAATATATGGTGACTTTCAACTTAAAATATAAATTTTAAACATCTACTACTGAAAAAGACATCAACAAACTCACCGTACTACATTTTATGTATCACTAGACGAATACCCGCGCGTTGCGCAAAATACAACAATATATTTGAAATCTTTACAAATATATATTTTTAAATATATCAGTGACGTTGTTGTTAGCTTTGATATAATAAACCTTATAATAAGTTGGTATAAACATTGTTTGTTTTGAATTATATGATAATGTAGATATATTTTAAAATATGTAATCCTAATTGTCTCAATGGCCTCTATTTACAGCTACTCGTGAATAAATTAAATATAATATATGGCTCAATGATATTTGTAATTATTGTTATGATTAATTAATTTTAAAACGTTTATTTGCTTACAATTTTAATTTTTATCATTGTAATTATTTAAACATCAAACATTGTTTTTGTTTTTAAAGGTAACAATATAACTTTTATATATAATGTTACTTTTAACTATTGTTGTTGTAAGTTATTTAAAAAATTAAAATAACGTATTTGGAAATTCTTAATTATTTTAATTTGGTTTCAGAAATTTAATTTTTTTAAACTTTATTTGATGAATATTTTTAGTTTTTTTGTTTGTAATTCTTTAAAACAACAAATATTGTTTTTGTTTTTAAAGATAACATTATAAATTTTTATATAATGTTACTTTTAATTATTCTTATTGTAAGTTATTTTTAAGATACCTATTTGGAAATTTTTAATGATTATAAAAAATAGTTTCGTGGTTTTTTTTTGTTAGTTTAGGATTACAATTTAGGTTTAACACTATAATTTATAACTTTTAACTATTTATATAATAGTCACTCGATTTTCTTTCAAGTTTAACTGAAATTTGATTTAAGTTAACCGTTTAATATTATATTGAAATTAATAGTTTAACTATTTTGCATAAAATCATAAATTATACAAAAGTTGTGACTTTAAAATGATAATTATTCACATACGACAACATATTTAGACTAATAAGCTAACTATAATATGTTAAAAAGTTAAAGTCATAGTTTTATAAATAGAAGTAAAATATGATATTTTAGTATTGAAGTTTAGTTAATTTATGATTAGAATTTAGTTTCTGTATTAAAATTTAATATTATTAACCAATTTATAATATTTATTAGAAAATATGATGCAAGTATATTATATATATAGCTTTGAATCGTAAAAGTTGAAGTCGGCTGATTCAACATAATTTATCCATTATCATATCTTTTTTTTTTAAACGACAAATTAATTTACTCCTCACTATCACCACATATGTCTTAAGCGTGACATGAACCCATAACCTTTCAAATGAGAGTCACTTTATACCGTTAGGCCAAAGACCGTTGATGTTAAAACTCATAAACAGATCGTGAAGGCAGGACTCATGCCAACTAAATTAAGGTGGTTTAGTGGAGATATATCGATTGAAAGAATTAGAGCATAACATATTCAGAAGCTGTGAGAATTTTGTTAAACGTATGGTTCACTTTATAATATCAACTTTGCAAAAATCGCAAGAAGGTCCCTTGACCATAAAGATAAAGACCGACATAAAAAGCTTTCAAGAATTTAATAATTTTTTGCGAATTTGCTTTGAAATCACAATATGTCAAAAAAAGCTAATTTGCTCGAGTCATTTTCCACGATTTAACCATGTTTTGACGAACAAAACGTGGTTATTTTATGTTATCAACTTATCTCTTTTGGTCATTAAATTTGGTGATGACTCTTATTCTATTCTGCACAATTAAATGTAATTAGATTTTTGGAAAAATTACAATAAAATCCTTACATATAGGTTTTATAATCGATTTAGTCCCTATATATATTTTTTATTCAATTAAGTCTCAAATACCGGTAATCGTATTCAATTTAACCCTTTGACCCGGTCAACAGGTCATCCAACTTTCAAAAATTACATTTTTGGCCCAGATTTCAAAATTTATTACAAATTCAGTCCAAAATTTACACTTTTGACCCAGATTTTAAATTTTGTTACAAATTTGGTCCAAACTTTATCATTTTTGCCCAAATTTTAGAATTTTATTATGAATTCATCCTAAATTTAGTTTTTTTGCAACTTTTTTTCTCAAATAATTGTTTTTAATATGTTTTTTTCTTTATAAAAATCATATTTATACAAAAAAAACATACTCAGTTTAATATGTTTTTTCTCAAATAATTGTTTTTAATATGTTTTTTTATACATAATCAAACAAGAATATATCCGATCTCAAAAGTGTTGATTAGTTCAACGAGCTCAGTTTCACAAATAAATACTCAATCAAGCTCGAGCCAATTTTTAACATTCGAAGAGAACTTAAATTCCACACTGTATCCACTAGTTTCGGCTCGATTTCACCCACACAAATTTATGTGATCTAACTAATAATTGAAAAATAAAGTAAAATATAAATATTTGACTATTTGGGAAACCGAAAGAAATTTAATTTCGAATCCTAAATAAATATATTTGGATAAGATGTTAGATGGTCATGACAAATCGCCATATAACCTATGTTACTAGGTTAGATACATCTATGTGTATTGTTTATATTTTAAACAATTTATTTATTAAACATCTTATACACATAACGTGCCGTGCGGTTAGCCTTAGCCCACATTGTATGGTTTTAGGATCGTTTATTTTAAACAACTTAATCTTTTTCAAAATGATTATTAATTTATAAGTATTTTAAAATATAGTTTTAAAAAACTGTTTAAATTAGTTATTCGGTAAGAAAACTTAATAAGTCGATAAATTATTTTTAGTGCTCGAAAATTTTTGCTTATAAATAAAATGAGGAAGTAAGTTATCAAAAATTTCTTATTTAAGTCAATAAACAAGAATGAAATAACTTAGTAAAAAAGTTTTATTTAAATCAGTAAGTGTCAAAAACATATTATTATCCAGAATAAATAAATAAACAATTCAAATAAGTAATTGTTTTGTATATTCAACATTTTGCTAGCTATTTTTTCTAATATTTATCATGCTTTAATCGATCCACGAATTTGTCATTAAGCTGCTCCATCTGCTTGACTGCTTGTATAGTTATGACAAATGACAACCACAAATCACAATAATTCATTAATTTGTGATAAATAATTGAGATTACTGAGCCTATGAAATTGGGCTTTATAATGGGCAGACCCATCGATATTTAGACTAGAAAAGAAAATTATGGTATAAATACTGGTTAGTAATATGGCATACAAAAGAAGCATGATTGTAAACTACGATGTTTCATCCAATTCATTTCTGGTTTCCAATTCAGATTTCACAAAAATACAAAATCGATTATATCCGGACAAGAGTACCGTAGGACCTATAGTTAAACCAAAAATAACATCTAATATATATATATATATATATATATATATATATATATATATATATATATATATATATATATATATATATATATATATATATATATATATATATATATATACCACTTCCCAACATTAACTTATAAAAAGTTTGAAATTAATAAAATATTTACATGATGATAGTTTTGCCACATAAAAAAACAAATATAAAAAAACCCGAAAGATTAGTCCTATCTTTCAAAACACATACTCAATAATGCACGAACTTGTAGTAGACCATGACACTTTAACTATGACCATATGATCCACATACTTAAAGTCAACATTTTTCCCATTTATATAACAATCACTTGGTTTTTCGGATGCGAAAATCACCATTTCTCCCGCACCCTTGACTTTGACTTGAACGATACACACTCCATCGACTTCTGACACAAATGTGATTGATTTGATAGCCCCACCCGAGTTGAGCATGTTGACTAGCCCGATGGGAGCAAATTGTATTGATTTTTGGGCCAAAATAGTGATAGGGGAGACCGTTATTAGCTCAAAGTCGAATGGCTCTAATGAAAGTTCTATGTTATCGGTTGGTTTTACTAGGATGAGTTTCTTCTGATGGAATAGGTATAGTGCAAAGGTGTCAACACTGTCCATGAACATTTGTGGTTTCCCATTCTGCCATTCAACATCGTTAGGACTTATTGTTGAGGTCACGACGCGAGAGTACTCAGAAGCGCATTGGTTGCGTCTTGTTTCACGACACCATCCTCCCCCTTGACAATTAAATGCTCCAATAACGCCAGTATACTGATATGTAATAAAACATTGTAAGTTTACAATGATATATTGTAAAACTAAAATAGATGACTTAGATTTTATTAAGTTTACCTTGTTTAAATTCCAAATCTTGAGCATTGTTTTTCCATCATGGAGTGGGTCTTCGAATAGACAATCACGGGTGGGTAGGGCGTAGTATTGACAACGTAAGATTGAACCATCGGGCAAAACAAAGGTTTTAAGTAAGTCAAAGTTGTGTTTCCCAACAGTATCACTGATGTAGATGGGCCCACCTGAAATGGCCCTAGAAGCCGCATGAAACTCCGCACATGGGTGAGTTGATTGAAACATGTCCCAATCCGGTTGTATGAAATTTCCCATCCACAAACTATTATAAGCACAATGCACCATGTGACACCCTTGTAACCAATATGTACCATTAGGGTCGCCCGATGGATCAGTGCACCAAAAATCGTCACCTATTAAAATGTTTTAAGTCAATAAATATGACACAAGTCGTTATTATAATCAATATTAAATAGTGTAAATGAAAATGTGAACAACATACCAACACGACCAAGTGCAATGGCTTCGGTGCCTAGGAACATGAAGTCGTTACAATGCTCCATACTCGCAATTACCCCATTGCCCTTGAAATGGTTCTTCACCGAAGATGTCAATGCTTTGTAGTATGCCTTTGCTAGCTCTACTCTTCCACCGTAATCCTCACTTAACATCTCCAATAACTATGGGTAAAATCAGGTAAAAAAGATTCATATCAAATATTTTAAATTAGCGTGACACACGAAATTAAGATGAATTTTTTTAATATGGTTAATTAGAATAATATTGTAAAACTTACATATTTATCCTTTATAGTTTATATGTTGGTTGATATGAGAAAATACGTTTCAACAAAAAATTAAAACAAAATAAAATAAAATGGTAGGAAAAAACATACATGGATGACGTCAACTTTGACTCCATCAATGCCGACAGATGCCAAATGAGAGTGTAGACCTTCGTACAGCTCATTAACTTTCTCTGGTGGTACCAACCCAACTCCGTTATTGACGATTTTATCAACGGCTAGATCTTCCATCGTCTTCTTGAGTCCAGGCGATAACATGGGTTGCACCACACTAGATTCTGGAAGCCCAGGGGTATTGGGCCTTACACCACCCCAATATCCACAAAGAGCATGCCACACATAAACATAATCTACACTTTTAAAGTCTTCCTTTAAATCTCTAACAAAGGCTCCCATGCCTTTGTTAGGGTTTTCCGGTTTCGGACTCTTATAGTCCCGAAACTTATAATTTTCTACAAATTTAGTCAGTCTGCAGGGCATTTGCTCACCTGCAGCTGTTCGGTTCATACCTTCAGAATCAACTGGATCGTCGTCATGACTTATGGATTGCCACCCGTCATCAAGCAAAACGAGCCCAGGTGGGCACCCACCTTCGACTAGGGCTTTCACACCTTCGAAGACACCTTGAGGTTCCACGGTCAGATAAAACGCGTCCCATGTACACCATCCAAACTTGTCGATAATGCCAGGTGTCGTCTTGTCTTCCAATAGTTTAAACGTACCAAGATGCTCTTGAACGACTCTCATTGCTTTTTTAACAAGGGCATAAGGGTCATACCCTGCTTCCATGTAAATGACACTTTTGAAAGAAGTGTCAGATACTTTTGTGGACCCACTTTCCACACAAACATCAACTAAATCGTTCTTTCCGGGCTGGATAGAAGCCCGGAAAGGACCTTCCAGTAATGGAAGGATAAAAACATATGGACGACCAGAGTCAGACCTCTCAAGCATGACCATCTGCGTCTCCTGCTCAAGGTCCCGACCGTTTGAACCAACCCAGTGAGTAGACCACCAGACTTTAAACCGGAAAATACTCATGAACCGAATGCCACTAAGCTTCCCGATTGGAACCACGTGTCGGCTATTGGATTCTGAAGCTTCAAAACCAACAAAACAACCATTTGAAGTTGTATAACAAGTAGTAATATTCGATGGGACGTCAGATAAAATGACATGGTCGTTAGCCATGAAATTTGATCCAACCAGTTTCACCATAGGCGTAGGATGAACATCATCTAACACTTTGGTATCATCGGATTCAATCTTGAATAAAGTAGGTCCCATTTAGATGAAATTTGTGAAAACTAAGATAGAATTTGAAGAGGGTGTATTTGTAGGAAAGTGAATAGATCTTTGTTGTAATTCAATGTCGATGTTGGTGGTGGTTAGTGGGGAATTTATAGGGAAATTGGTGTGCATACGGGGCGGCTTCCAGAGAAGGTCCACATGGTCGGTAGGATTGTTTCTATTTTTATTTATGTTTATTTTACTTCATACGTTAATAATATATTTGAGCAATTTATTTAGAATATAAAAGCTTAGTCAAAAGTTCAAAAATATTTCCATGATACGTGTCACAACGTATCTATACAGATGTAAGTTCGATTTTCTCATTTATGAATGCATCGATTTATTGATTATGTTTGATTTATAACGAAAAAATGGATGAATAGAAAGATATATTTAAAGAAATATGACAAATAAATAGAACGTGTTAAAAATGATGAAGATAGTTGTTCAAAATGTATTTTTAATATTTTTTTGCTTTATTCAAGAAAAAGATTACTAGGGTAACAAAGTATTGTAAAAATAGACTCGGATATCAAGATTTACTCTGCCAGATCCAAATATCATAGCTAAAAGACAACCAACATGTTGATCATAAACATCTACAAATTTAAAGATTAGACTAGGATATTTTCATGTTGATCAAGTCTACGGATATGATAGCACAATATATTTATTTAAGACAAAACTGTGTTCATGTGTAAACCATAATTTAGTCTAAACCATAATATTTTTGAATCGGTCTTTTTAAGCTAGTTTACTTATGTTTTTTGTCTTTTAGAAAACTCAAAAAACTAAAATGTCATTTTGATATATATTTTTATATTTTTTCTATTTAATTTAATTTATTATTAATGATAATATAGGGCCCACATATCTCTCTCTCTCTCTCTCTCTTTCTCTCTCTCTCTCTCTATATATATATATATATATATATATATATATATATATATATATATATATATATTTGACACCCAAAACCCCAGCTCTCATTTCCTCCACCTTCTTCATGTCCCTCTCTCATCTCGTTCTCCCTTTGAAACTTTATGGTTCGGACACATTACCAACCTCAAAACTCTGACGACTAATTTCTTCTTTAATATTCCACATCTGAAGAACATGAGGTACGTCGATGTTGTTTTAACTGTTCCCTCGAAGGCAATGATGCCGATGACCAGAATTGAAGATCGCGTTAATAGGAGCTCAACGATATAAAGACAGTCGAAAATGGACGTCGGATGACAAAGTTATTAATTTTTAACGAACTTTTACTCTCTATGAATGTTAAAATATAACTTTAAAAATAAAGTCAAAATTAGCCGACAGAGTCTAAACGAAAGTTGTAGATCACGTCGCTACCTACGCGTGAATATAAAGAACGTAAAACGGAACTCGTATGCGAAAGTTACGGATTTTAGAAGATAATTAATTTTTGGATTAAACATCGAAATGCCACGTGGCAAGATCTGGGCCACTACTTCTTCCCAACAAGGTGACACGTGGCATGAGTACGCCCAACGTAGCTCGAAGTACGTCAAGTGTATTGAGTACGCCCATCGTACCCTTGCGTACGCCCCGCCTACAGGGTTGCTGACAGCCTATAAATAAGTGGCATTTTTCCCTCATTTCTCCACACCTCTTCACCCATTTCTATCTCAAACACCCCCAAACCCTCTAAGCCTATCCCTAACACCTCCTAGGTGTTAGTAGCGAGTCCTGGAGCACCAGAAGGCCCCGAGAAAAAGAACTTTCGCCTCAGAAATTCTACCAGCGTAGAGTCCGGTTCCTTACTAACCCCCTATTTTAAGTGAGTTATGTTTACCATACTTTAAATATAACTTACGTTTAAGTTCATTATCGTTATTATGAGCTTATAAACAAGATTTATCAGTGATTCCAAGTTGTTATACTGATTGATCTACTTACGGGGATGATGTCTAGGCTGTGATTTAGTGAGGTGTTTAAAGTGGGATTTCCAAACAATATACTTTGTATACAAAACGGACCCTACCTCCGATATGATCCTACCTGGTTGTTCCTTACTTGATAGATCTTGAAGTAGACTTTGAGTTAATGATGAATCTGGACTAATAATTAATCGCAATAAATAATAGACTAAGACTTAGTGATAATGGTACTAGGTTTCTTCAGAGGAAAAGACAATTGTTAGAAGCGAAGCGCTGCCCGAATTACGATTCGTCACTTTAATAAGTGATGACATAGTTACTTTCATCTTACACATAGCTATGAAGTATTTAATATTTACACATGCTATACGTGCTTATTATCTGTGTTCCTGATATCTATGCTAGATGAACGATTTATACATGTTTTACGTGATTTAAACTGTATATGTACTTTTATACCTATAAATATATTAGGTAAAGATGGGTAGATGAATGATGAGAGATGAAAGATGATATAGATGATAAGAGGTGAAAGATGATGAGAAGCCTTGACTTTAACGATGATCCAGTCATCTAGCAGAGCATAGATGACGACCACAGACTATTCTAGATAGTCCAGTGGAATGCTAGCAGGGTCGCAACCTGTAGGTGTTTGTGAACGACGTGTTCACCATATGTACTCTAAAAACCTTGACAACTATGGACTTAGTGCCTTACAAATGAACATTTACAATTGTGCCTAATAGATAACATCGACAACTATGGACTTAGTGCCTGTTGGATAAACCCTGACAGTGATGGACTTCGTGCCTATTCCTTAGGACAATATTTAGGAATAAATAAATAAAGAATATATAATTCTTAGGGTAGATCCTTAAGAATAAAGAAGACAATGGGGATGGGAAATATGGTTAATTATTTGATGATTAAACATAATAATTATATTATTGTTGGTTGCAAACCCTATGTACTCACCAGGTTTCCCAACCTGACCCACTAAGTTTATCGTATCACAGGTGGCTATATGAAAGATACATTCTGCTGAAAGATTCAAAGATTATTAGGCCACTAGTTTAATTACTGTAAGGCTTGTAATATTTCGTTATGTTTATGTTTCTGTATTGACGATGACATCCCAAAGTTTTAATATAAATAAAAATACATTTATTCGAAAATGCTTTGATAACATCTTTATCATGTTTTCTGGGAACAAATTCCGCAATACTATTTTTCAAGAAGGATACTCTGATTTTTAAATAACCATAAACAAATCGGTCTTTTCTGGCCGTGAAAATGGGTATGTTACAATATGCATGTGTGTGTGTGTGTGTTTTTCGACTAATGAAGAAGGAGCAGTGTTGTGATATATGCATTGGACTTAACACCGTTACTTGCTGGTTCCGGTAGAGAAGAGCCATGTAATCACAACAACGAAGAGATAATGTCAGTCAATGTCCGGGAGGGGGTCCTGAGACGAAGCTTCGACGGTCTAGTTAGTATATGTTTGAGGATAAGGTAATTACGTTTTTGATGGAAAGAAGGCGATCCCTTCTTCTGGAGAAAAAGGATCCTTTTATACCCGTTGTTACCTATACACGATCCAACAATGCTTTTTATCCCGTATAAGCCGACAGGACGTGGAGGAGTTCCATTGGAGGATCATGCACCACTAACGATCGTCTGCTATTGATGTAGAGTAATCAGAGGACAACGCCTTGGACGCAACACCTGTCGTTCTGGGAGACGAACAACTATGTTTTGTCCTATTATAGACCAGAGATTATCATTAGATATTGGACCCGGGCGTGAGGGCGCCAAGTGAGAGGGTCCTAGCGCGAGGGTGAGGGACCGGGTGTGGCACTAGGATAGATCTATGACCGTTAGCTAGGTCGTCCTAAAGATAAAAATTCTGTTATATTTAATGTATTCCTGGTGGGATACGTTTATAAGTCCCCTAGGCTAGTAAATGTCAGCGTTAGCCTAGCGTAGCTGAGTTGTTCTAGCTTAGATCAAGACATGTGTTCGGCGTAGATGGCTCTGACATCTGCTGATGTGACAAATCCATCTGTGCACACGGTTTCATCATGGTAACTGTTCGATATTCCCACATTGTATTTAAAACCTTCCTTATAAAGGACGATTTTCTTCTTTGTGCTTCCCACTTCTTCAACCGCTTCCATCTTTCCTTTGTCGTCCTTCTTGTTCGCTTTGTTCTTGCATTTCAAGAGAAAATGGCAACACCACACACTGGAATCGAGCCAACTCCAAGCGGGTTTGAAACTCCTCAAACCAGGTTCGACTTTATGCCTAAGCACCGAGCGTAGTACCTCAGGAAGGGGCGGTCATTTCTCGTCCATCGGAGAGAAAGGTTGGAGTCTCCATTCCGATCTTCGAGGCAGGCTTGAGGTTGTCAACAACAGAATTTTTTACGAGATTATGTGCCAATATGGTTTTTCTACGGGTGATCTAACTCCCAATGTTGTCAATAAAATTGTAGGATTTGAGTTGGCATATCGAGCCCTTGGGGTACTACCTCAGTTCTGGGCGTTCAAGTCCTTCTTCAACTCTTCCACTTAGTCTGGCGTTCATACCTTCTCCCATAGATGGGATGTGTATGCGTTCATCGTTAACCGGAAAGCGCCCAAGAAAAATTGGCAAGATAAGTGGTTTTAGGTGAACCGCAACTTGGTTGGTTATGGCTATCCTCGGAGGACTGATTACTCTGACCGGACGCTCAAACTGTGGGGTGCTAGTTTAACTGTGGCACAAGTGCTAGGGGGTTTCTGCTTCACTGGAGAAGACTAGGAGGATCATATCCTAGTTGCGGTTGGGATGAGTGTCGCATGGAGGGCTCAAGGGATGATGCATCAGTACTTCATGGAGAAAGATGGTAAGTGTTCTTCTCTCCCCCCCTATATTCTTTAGAAGGCATATTTTGGGGGAATCAGTTTACTCATCTTGCTTTAATTCTTGCTATTGTAGGTCACGAGAGGATTTTTCCCTTTAAAATGATGTTGTGGGGCAAGTTCAAGAGCACTCTCCAGTACCATGAGGTACCTTTGGTGGAGATCCTCCCACCGCTTGTCAGAAATGATCGAGACCTGGCACTTGTTGCGCCCCCTGTTGTTGGGAATGAAGACCCTGGTCCTCAGGTTGATCTGGTGC